GGCACACTTCCATTGTAACTAAAAGTCTAGGCCCGCTGGGTCTCAGACCCCACGGCACACTTCCATTGTAACTAAAAGTCTAGGCCCGCTGGGTCTCAGACCCCACGGCACACTTCCATTGTAACTAAAAGCTACTTTCTTTCTCAAGAAACACCTTGAGGTCAGGCGGTGGTGGTGCACACCTTTAATCCCACAACTCAGGAGACAGCGACAAGCAGATCTCTGTGAGATCGAGGCCAGCCTGGTTCCAGGACAGGCTCCAAAGCTACAAAGAGAAACCCTGTCTAGAAAAACAAAAACAAAAACAAAGAAACAACCTTGATCTGAACCTTGGCCAGGCATGGTGATACCTAGAATTCTGGAACCTGGGAGCCAGCCTAGGCTACATGACAAGCCTTTTCTTTTTTATTTTGTTGTGTATATATGTTTCATATGTGTGTGTTTATATGGGAGCATGCATGCACCATGGAACATTTGCAGAACTCAAAGTATAACCTTGGATGTCGGTCTCTGCCCTTTTTTCTCTGTACAAACTTACATGCAGGCAAAACACATAAAAATCATGAACTTTTTTTTTTTTTTTTGGCTGCAGAGACAGCTATGGGTGCTGGGAACTGAACTCTTATATTTTTTTGGCTGTATGCCTAGCCTTTAACAGCTAAGCCCTCTTTCCAGCCCATACATTTTTTTTTTTTTAGGAAACAAATTTTTCAACTTTTAGAGCATGTAGCATGTGGTTTGTTACCCAGAGCCACGTTAAAGTGAAGGGAGAGAGAGAGAGAGAGAGAGACAGACTTCAGAAATGGGCTTAAAGTCCCTAGACAAATCTGGACTACCCACCTCTTCATTCAGATGATCTAGCAAAATGCACATGCTGGACATAAGGACAGCAGGGATTCGCTCTGCTAGCTCAGTGAGGAAGGCTGCAAAGCTCTTTGTCCCTGCTGTGTCTCGACTCAGCTCCTGTGGACACTTCTGCCCAATCTCTCTATAGAGGGAAGAAAACAGATACGGAAAGAAGGTTCAATTCTTGAGTTCCCGATAAGGGAAGCCAAGACAGGCAGCTAACGCGAAGGAATCCAACATCACATGGAGAAAGGGCCTCTAACTTTCCTTTACCCCACCCACACCTCCAAGAAAACAGAAGCTTGGAGGGTCAGGAGTCACCTTACAATCTCGCCCACGATGCTCTTCATTCCATAGTCTGTTGCCCACAGACTCACAGCCGCCACTAGCACAGACGGCAGGTGCTCAAAGTGCTGCAGCATCTGGATGATCTTCACAGTCGCACCTGGGAAGCAGCAACATGTGGCATTCAGGGAGAAAGGGCAATGCAGGGAGCAGGCACCAGGCAAAAGGCAACTTACTGAACATATGATTATAACGGACCAAGGCCACCCCAAGCAAGTGTGCTACGGCTTCCCTAGTGGGGCGATTCTTCTGGTGACCAATGGTGGGATTTTCCAAAAGGCGGTAGCAACAGCCAGTAACCAAACTAAAAAGAAAAGAGATGGACAGAAAAAAATCAGCTCTGGAGCCACCAGCAGCTCCCCTTATTCATTCTGTCCCTACTATGTCCGAATCAAGGTGTCTAGAGCTCTGCTCTTTCGGTCTAAGCGCCTTCCACATTAAGGTGCTTTGGAGAAAGCAATTCTGGAAGAAATTCTTACCTTCTGATCAGCAAATTTCAGCTAGTTACCATGTCAACAAGAAACCTGAATATATGATCAAGATGGTAGGGCAAGGTTACTGAAGACTCACTGTTAAAAATGGCCAGTTCAGTCTTTATTAGACAGACTTTTCATTTCCATCGGCTGTGACTGATCATTTACTTTGGTTTTACTGTCTGTGTGTGTTTCCCTGAATGTGCATGTGGAAAGCAGAGGTCAACCTTGGGTTTCATTTCTCAGGAGCTGTTTTGCCTTAGTTCTTGAGACAGGGCCTCTCACCTGGGGCTCACTGAATAGGCTAGGCTGACAGTCCTAAGTCCTTGTCTCCACATCCCCAACACTGTGCCATGTTTGGCTTTGACAGGAATGTTGATCATCAGTGTTGGTGATCATCAGTCCTCATGATTGCATGGCAAGTACCTTACTGATTGAGCCACCTCCCCAGCCATTATTTATTTGGAGACAGGTCTCAGGATGACCAGGAAGTCTCTAGTCAACCAAGATACCCTTGAACTCAGACACTGAGTTCTCTTCAGACACTGACTCTGCTTCCTAAGTGCTGGGATTACATATGTGTACTACCATGCCTGGCTACTTATATTTTGAGACAATGTCTTGCTATGTACTCTTGGCTGCTCACAGTATAGCGTAACTCACCTTGAATTCCTGGCAAACCTGCTTCAGCCTCTCAAGTTCTGGTATACAGGCATGTGCCACAATGCCTGGTCACTTTCTCCTTCAAACACACACTTCATTTGGCTTCAGGACTCTGGATCCCTATCTCAGATTCTCTGGCTGCTTCTCAGCTCACTCTACTGGCCATAGTGTACCTTAGTATATAGTCCTTGGATCTATGCTTTCTTGTAGTTCCTGATTTAGTGACCTCATTCGATCTCAAGGGTTTAAGCAGCATCATATCCCCAAAGGCGTCCCTTTAGTCCACACGCGCCTTCCTTTCAACAGCTGAATCTAGTACTACTCAGATGTCTAACAAGCACCTCAAAGTGCATGTCCAAAGCAGGACTTCTGATCTTCCTGCCAAATACCCCAACTTCCCTATACCTCCATTATCAGCAACTCCTTTTTACCAAACGCTTGGCCACATCCCTGCAACAGTCATCCTTGACTGTATCCTTCTCTCGAATTTCATACCCAATCTGTCAACAGATCCGGTAACACCTTAAGAAAAAGAATCCTGCTTCTCCCCACCCCCAGTGCCATTCCATGGTCTTGCCTAGGCTACTAGAACTGGTGACTGGTCTCTTACTTCCTCTGCTGTTCCTACTATCTATTTCTATCCCATAACCAGGCTGACTCCATGAAAGCACAGTCACATAACCTCACTGCCCAGTTACGAGTGGCCCCATTGGATACTCTTGAGTATAGATCAAAGTTACCATGAGACTTATCAGGTCTTGCAATGTGGCCTGACCCGCCAGCCCACTCTCACTCTCTCTCTCAGCTGCCACTCAGACCTCACTAGTACTGATGTGTTGCATGATATCTGATCACACTGTGTCAAGGTGTGTTGCTGTTTCACTTCACCTGCCTACAGCACCTTCTGACTGGTTTAATAAAAGGCTAAATAATCAATAGCTAGGCAGGAGAGGACAGACAGGCTATTTCTGGGCAGAGACAGGAACTCTGGGAAGAATCTGAGAGGTACGGGATACACCAAACAGAAAGAGAGGAGTATAAGTGAACTCGCAGTACTGAGGTAACGAGTCACATGGCAGCATGTAGACTAATAGAAATGGGTTAATTTAGGTTTTAAGAGCTAGTCGGGAACAAGCCTAAGCTAAGGCTGAGCTTTCATAATTAATAAGAAGTCTCATGTCATTATTGGGAGCTGGTGGTTCAAAGAAAGACTGCCTGCAGGGTGCCCGCGGGATATACTCCCTCCTTAGGCCCCCAGACTCGCTCTTCCCTGAGCTACTCACACATCTCTCACTAACTTCCCCTGGGTCATGATTAAAATGGTTAAAACTCAAAGAGGTCCTGCTTGAACAGCTGACTTAAAAATTACAACCCTTCCCCACCAAACTTCCTAGCCCCTTCCTCCATTTTGCTCTGCATTAACATATCACCATACATACTATATATTTTCCTTATTTTAAACATTGCCAGTCAAGAGTGATAGCTCATGGTTGTTAATTCCAGCATTTGAGAAGTTTGAGGCATGACTGAGTTCCAGGCTAGCCTGGACTGTAATAGTGAGTTCAAGACCAGTTGAGCTACATAGCAAGACCAGCCTAAAAAACAACTCCCCACTAAAAGCACAACAAGAATAACCACCACCCCAAAATTGCCTTCTATTCTAAAATAGAAAGTGTCTATAATAATGCCACCATCCACCTAGGGGATTCTTAGTAAACACATTTCCACAAATATAGGTATCAGCAATGAGAAATTCATTGTGGTGGCACATACCTTTAATCCCAGCACTTGGAAGGTAAAGGCAGTAAAACTCTGTGAGTCTAAACCCAGTTTGAGACTTCCAGGCCAGATGGGCTGCACAATGAGACAGTGTCTCACAAAAGTAAGAAAATAAAACAAAGCAAAAAAAAAAAAAAAGCCAGAACCTCATTCCTCAGAGTTTAAGATCATCTACAGCCATCTTAACTACCCACCTGACAAATTCTTCTTCAATTACTGAGTGGTTCCATAGGTGACGAATGTCCAGCTGGAGTAGCTGTGTTAAAAGCTGAAGAACTGGTTGCCTCTCTTCCTCCCAATCAAAGCCAAGGGCTGCCTTGGCCCGGGCCTTCTTACCCTAAAGTGATCATACAGACATTCAGGGGTGGGGTGGGGTGGGGATCAGAGAGTAAAGACCATCTAGTCTGTGTGCCCACACTATCCAGTACCAAGGCAAGGTTAGGCAAGGCCATAGAGGATTAGAGGTGCTGGGATGCACAAGAACTACTCGCCAGGGAAGGGGATCCAGTACTTGAGGACTCTCTCCTAAACCCCAAGCAAGAATATAAAACATCCTAGAATCCTGGGCTTCTCTCCCATCAATATAAAACGGCCCAGGCATCCCCACTTACCCTCCCACCCACATCCAGGTTGATGAGGCTTGTCTGGCCGGTCATATTCTCAAAGGACTCCAAGAGGCGGATCAGGGCGTAGCAGCTCATCTTGAGGGTGTTCAGATGGGCGGTTCTATCTGATACACTCAAAGTGGCATCATCCAGGATGGATGGAAGTTCCTGGGAGTGGCAGGATACCACTGTGAGGGGCAGAATCTGGGAGTTGGTTTCGTTGACTTTCTTAATGTACCCCAACTTTTAAACACTTAGCACTTGTAGCCATCAGATTACCAAAGATCTGTGTATCATCTCTCAGTGGCCATGACACAGCTAAGTCCTTTGGGACCCCTGACCCCTGGATCGAGATAGAGCCTGTTCCTACTTTCATTCCAATGACAAGTCCTCATGGGCAATGGAGAATCACCCCTACTTGGGGAGGTGGTTCAAAAGCAGGAAAACTTCTGTTGGTCCGCCCTTACAGCGATCGCACATTACTCTGTATCGACCACCAAGATTACAGACCTGGATAAGCCAGAGGCCCCCGGACTTAGCCAAACCAACTGAATCACAACAGCCTTGATATCATCACATGGCTCAGAGAACGGAGGAAATGCTACACATAACAAGCACCTTCCAGCCCCTACCCCAGACCCACAGACACCTTTTATCAGGAATTCCAGGGTATCTTCCTTGAGGCCAGGATCTATACTTCGAAAGTGACTATGAGGGAAAGAAAGTGTGGGAGTGAGACAGGAGCCTGCAGAGCCCATTCTCCTAGGTCAGATCTAAGGATCGAACACGTGAAAATATCCCACAATTGTCAAATAAACATGGTGGAAGCTGGACCAATGCTCACTATGGATGTCAGCACCCAAAATCGATAATCAGTGAACTTATAATTTGGAATTTCAAAACTAACATGCAAAAATCAGAGAAATAGCCACCAGGTGTTTAAAAGCACCTGCTGTGTATTTTACTTACTGTAAAATGCTGTAGATTGTATCAAAATGCTCCAGCATAGCGAGAGGTCCCTGAGCTCGGAAAGCAGACTGAAATGCTAGAAAATGAAGGATGCTGTTTAATTTAGAGGAAAGACAGATTTTATTTTTTTTGTAAATTCCATTTCTATGTAGAAGGCATTTAGCTAACACGTTTCCTGAATCTTCAAGCTTTGCCTTTCATAATTTTTTAAAGATTTATTTATGCGTTATGTATACAGTGTTCTGTCTGCATGTATACCTGCCCACCAGAAGAGGACATCAGATCTCATTACAGATGGTTGTGAGCCATCATGTGGTTGCTGGGAATTGAACTCAGGACCTCTAGAACAGCAGCCCGGGCTCTTAACCTCTGAGCCATCTCTCCAGCCCCTGTCATTCATAATTTTGTTGTTGTTGTTTGTTGTTTTTTTTTTTAAGACAGGGTTTCTCTGTGTATCCCTGGCTGCCCTGGGACCTCCTTGCTCTGTGGACCAGGCCAGACTCCTGCAGTGCTGGAATTAAAGGCATGCACCACCACACCTGGCTCGTCCCATGTTCACACACAAACATCAGGTACTTTAGTCACATGCGCCACATTTCTTTCATAAAAAGAAACAGTGTTTCATGGGTCACGCTTCTTCCCGGGTCACCCAATTTTGTACATACGCTGCTAGAGTGAGCATTTATTTTCTTACTTCCTCACACCACAGGATGGTCCAGGTTTACCTCCTACTTTCCTTGGTTCTGGAATCAATAATTTTTAGTGGTATGAGAGAACAGTTTATAAAAATCGAAGCTCTCGGCACTGCATAGAATAACTGTTGGTCCTGGCTGATAGTACCAGCCATTAGAGAGGCTGAGGCAGGAGGATTAAAAACTCAAAAGCCTCACTCGGCTACAAAGTAAATTCAAGGCTAGTCTTGGAAACTTAGCAAGACCATGTGAAAATACAAATTAAAAAGGAGGTGGCGATGTAGCTAGAGAAGCACTTATCTGGCATGTGCAAGGTCCTTGGTTCAATCCCCAGTCCTGAGAAAGGAGAAACCAACCCAGCAGATGAGAAGGAGGCAAGGAAGACCAGAAGTTCACAATCATCCTTAGCTATGTATTCAGTTTGGGACTGCTCAAATTGAGACCTTGTCTCAAAAAAATTAGAAAAAACATTGAAAAAAGACAGACAGACAGACAAGACAGAAATGCCCTTCCCCATTTCTGAACCTTACATCAAGGAGCTGCCATCTCCAGTAGGAGGTCACTTGTTCAAGCTCAGGGCGGCAGAGGGGACAAGCCCAGGCCTGGCTCCAGCAGCTTCAGTCTACACATAATTCCCTAAAGCAACCCAGTGTGAACCAATTCCAAGAAGTACAGTGGCACTGTGGGGTCTGACCGATAATATACAAGTTGTTTTTAGTTTTTCATAGACGTCAGGAGGAACAACACTGTGCATCCAATCACAGGCGCCACACTGTCAATGAACAGCCACATACAGAGTATCCTCCTCTACTGCAATGGAGCTGAAAACTTCCTACTGTCTAGTGACGGTTTAGCCACTGCTATGTTTTCATCTGTAAGGTTTGCGGTGCAAACACACTCACTCTACACTTCAAATCCCATAAAGTATGGCACAGACGGTTATGAACAGTAGATAATTCTTGACAATAAAAGACTACATTACTGGCTATGTAATTGCTGTAGCTGATAATTTACTATAAAATGCTAATGCTGGGTTACTCTAACAGCAGCCTCATATACCCCATCTCTTTTCTTGTGGTTTTGATTTCTGTTTTGGAGACAAGGTCTTACTCTGCTGTATAGTCTGCTCTTGAACTTTCAGCAATCCTCCTGCTCTTTTCATCCCAGCTGCTGGGATTACAGGTGTGCACTACTACATCTGGTTTCATCTGGTGGTGAGGATTAAACCTAGTACTTTGTGTATACTAGACAAGTAATTTGGAGTACATGATACCATTTTTATTTTATTTTCTTTCGGTTTTTCGAGACAGGGTTTCTTTGTGTAGCTTTGGAGCCTGTCCTGGAACTCTCTCTGTAGACCAGGCTGGCCTCAAACTCACAGATATCCACCTGCCTTTGCCTCCTGAGTGGACTATGCCATTTTAAAAACTTGCACATGTATACTCTATGATGAGGTTTCATAATAATGAATCATCTATCAACAGGCTTCTCAGAACATATCTCCCACAGTCCACTTATTAAGTGACAGATGACTATTTTGCGTGTTGTTGCAGCTATGTTTCTCCTTTATTACACTTCTTGGAAACATGATCTAGATTTAAGAGTACTCCCTAAGAAACGGCAAGTCAAATACTGTCACTGCCCACAACTGCTGCATGTTTTATTTTTCACTTTACTCATGTATTATATGCAGGTTGGCGTTTTGCCTACATACATATCTGTGCGCTACAGGCACAAGTTACAGCCAGTTGTGAACTGCCATGTGGGTGCTGGGAATCAAATCTGGGTCTTGTAGAAGAACAGTTGGTGCTTTTAACCTCTAAGCCATCTCTCCAGTCCCTAGCCTACAATTTTTAATTTTACCATGGTAAAAGGTAAAAATACAGCCAAGCGGTGGTGGTCCATGCCTTAGTTCGAGGACAATCTGGTCTACAAAGTGAGTTCCAGGGCAGCAAGAACCGTTACACAGAGAAGCCAAAACCAAAAAAAAAAAAAAAAAAAAAAAAAAAAAAATCAAAAAACAACAAAACAAAACACCCCCCCACCCCTAAAAACAAAAACAAAAACCCTAGAGTAACCAGGTTAGGCAACACTGTTTCTTGAATAATCCGGGGAGGACAGCCATTTGTGTCATGAATCCGGTGCAGAGCTACTAAACAAACAAACAAATAAATAAGTGAAATAAAACTAGGGACTAGTAGGAAAGACATTCCCTGCCCCGATGGAATGTCACAGAGCTATAGAACAGAGACGCTAATTACACACGGGATGTTTGTCTATTGAAGCTCACTGGTAGCCATGGTGTCTTACCTCTAAGTTGAGATGGAAGCTGCTTGATGGGCAACACCTCCTGAACAACATACTGATTCACGCCTCTACTTTTCAGCAACTCCTCTGGGGCTAAGGGCAGATGGAATTCAAAGTTTTGGGGAGACATCCTTCTCCTATCGGTTCACAGGTCTAGAAGACAAACAACTAAAATGTCAGTCTAAACCAGAAGTTCTCAACCCGTGGGTCTTGCTTGACCCCCTTCACAGGGGTATCCTAAGACCATGAAAACACCGTTATGATTTATAACCGTAGCAAAATCTATGAAGTAGGTCCACACGTGAGTGCTCTACCACTGATCTACACTGGCACGCCCCCCCCCTTTTTATTTATTTTGAGACAAGATCTCACTGAGTTGCCCATACTGACTTTAAACTTGGAACCCTCATGCTTTAGACTCTTGAGTAATGGTTATTATAAGCACAAACCACTGTGCCCAGTCTGGAGGGTGTCTTAGTTTTTAACCACCTCTATAAGAGTGAGTTCTGGGGCCCAAACACCCAGTTTTATGAGTTAATACCATGCCTCTACGGTATGCAGCACAGTATCTGCCTAATAAACTTGTGAAGAAACATTAAACAAAAAATCTATGAAGTAGCAACGAAATAATTTTATGGTCGGAGAATACCACAACATGAAGAAGAACTGTATTTAAAGGGCATTTAACACAGCATGAGGAAGGTTGAGAACCACAGGTTTAAATTTAAGAGTGCTGTGGTTTTTATTATGTAGTAAGAGCATTTCTTTCTTTTCTTTTTTCTTGTTTTGGGTAGTGGTGGTACTGGGAATTAAACCTAGCATCTTTTGGTATGGTAGGTACTTTACTACTGAGCTATAACCCCTGCCTCAGAGATTATCTGGTTCAATTATGTCCCCCACTTTCAACATTGTTTTTCAGTCTTACAACAAGCTACTAACACTATCTTGTAAGGTATAATATCAGAGTCAAGTAAAGTAGTACACAGTGGTATTTATATTCCTAGTATCCCAGCATTAGGAGGCAGAAGGATGGAGTTCAAGGCCAGCCTCTTCTACATGATCTGGGCTATATAAGACTCCAGTCTCCAAGTAAGTGACATTCAGTGTGTACAAACAGCCTTACTACTTTCATTTTAAAGTCAAACGATCCTTACAGCATCGGGGTTCCTGGATGCAGGATGAGAGAACATTAGTGTCTACTTACTCATTCTCTAGTCTCCAATCTTGGCCTCTCGGGGTGTATAAAGAACAACTAAATTTACAGATTGGGTAGCAAGGTTATACCACGCGTTCCGTTTCTGATCACAGCCACTTTGGATTTCAAGGGCATCCCTACCAGACGTCGCTGCCGACTGAACACAGGCAAAGGCTGCGTCCTGTCCCGGACCTGATTTTCTCAGCCCTTCACTTCCCGCTTCCTACCCCTACCATACCTCACCTGGACACCTGGACACCTGGACTCCTGGACAACGCTCACCCGCCGTTTCTTCGACTGGGATCGACCCCACTGAAAAGGAAGGAAGAAAACACCAGAGGACCATCCGCGCCAAACAGCGATATGGTTTTCAAGCTGGTGGAGAAACCAGCCAATCCTCGGCAGGCTGGGACGGAAATCCGCCTCGGAGTCAGGTGTCGCGCTCGCAGAGCCCGCGAATCGGAGTTCAAACCTCAACGGCTGCCGGGAGGCGGAGCGTGACGCGGCTGGAGAGGCCGACCAATCATAGAACCGGGAGGGGGAGCGTGACGCAGCTGGAGAAGCCGACCAATCACAGAGTCGGAGGCGGGGCAAGCGGGCGGGGGCGTGACCGCAGGGTCTGCGCTTTCTCCGGTCCCTCCATGGTGCGCTGTCCCCGGAATGGCGCCTCGTATATCCCTCCGGGAGGCCCCGAACCTCAAATTCCTGCCGTCTAAACTGCTAGAGTATACTGTCTCAGCAAAACCGCGTGGCGAGGCGCAAGGGAACCTTGTCGCAGCGCCGAGTCCTCATCCTCCACCTCCCTCACAGTGGAGGACGCCCAGGGAAACAGGAGCGGGTTTATTTGCAAGGAGTTTCGGGTTGGAGGTGTCCTACCCTGCGACAAAAAACGTGCCGCAGCCCTAGAAACGTCCCGTGGCTAAACCGGAAGTGTCTGAGCTGGGCGTGCAGGCTAGGCCGGAATTTGGAGGGCGGAGCTTGTGGCTAGGGCGGTGCGAACCAAGGGGCGTCCTCTCCCAAAGCTAGCTGGGTAAGGCCCAAGATGGCGTCTCTTACTGACAGTCGCATGTGAGCTCCGGCTGAGACTGTCCTTTGCCTGGTCTTTGAAATCTACACCTGGTCCCCATTTTTCTGGCTGGTGCGAGGCCCTGTCGAGGTAGACGGGCGCTAGAGTAATGGCAGGGAGTCTTCCTTGGCTGGCAAATAGGAGCCTGTGGGGCTGGATGCCCTTGGCGTGCAGAAGCTTCTCTCTGGGTAAGTGGCTAACGTACAGAGAAGACAGACCACCCGCGAACTGCTTGTTGGTAGACTGTGGAGATTCTTTCTTTCTCCCTTGCTTTCCTAGGTGTACCACTGTTGACCCGTGTGAGGCTTACGCTGCCGCCCCCGAGAGTGGTTGATCGCTGGAACGAGAAGAGGGCTCTGTTTGGTGTCTACGACAACATCGGGATCCTGGGTAGGATTTGATTTCTAATTTCAGAAGGACTGTTAGGCTCTATTGACTCCTTTGTTTCTATTTGCTTGGAGAATAGTAGTGTGCTCAGGGCAGGATTGGTGACACAAGCTGGGGACTAAGGTAGACAAGACCAGTCTTAAGTTACTGTGGTGATCAGACGGACTAACACAGTTGTGCGTTGTTCTGTGTGCCCAGAGCTGGATGGTAGTGTCAGTATTTGAATCCCAAGCATTCTGGCGTGCTTGCTACCTTGTTTTACTGTACGTGTGCCAAGTGTTATTCAAGTAAGGCCCGCAGGTACAGGGTGTCAGGCTCCCTAAGAACTGGCCTTGCACACAGTTGTGAACCTCTAGATGTGAGTGCTGGGTCTCCGGCTCTTAGCAGGAACAAGTGTTCTTACCGCAGAGCCATCTCTTCAGCCCCGAAGACTTCTTAGTAGCATTATGGGTGTGTCTGGTCTGTAAGCTCTGCTCAGGGAGCTGCAGCCGTGGGGTGGAGGCTTAGCTGGCCTAGGCTGCCTTCCCTTCTCTGCAAACTAACGTTCTCTCGCATTACAGGGAACTTCGAAAAGCACCCGAAGGAACTGATCAAGGGCCCTGTATGGCTTCGAGGCTGGAGAGGAAATGAATTGCAGCGCTGTATCCGAAAGAAGAAAATGGTTGGAAGCAGAATGTTCGCCGAGGACCTGCACAACCTTAACAAACGGATCCGCTATCTCTACAAACACTTTAACCGGCATGGGAAGTACCGCTAGAACGGAGAACTGGGGACTTGGGAAGAGACGTGCTTGTCACCCTGGAGAAGGGGAACAGGACCTGTCCCTGAGAGGAAACTCAGTGTGCTCTCTGTGATAAAATGGGCCTTCTTTGGGATGGGCTATGCACACTGTATGTTCTCAGTGCTACTTTTGCTCACTCCTGCAGACTGGAGTTTCTCATCCCTGAGTCGTAGGCTCTGCTGTTAAGACCTTACTTATTTACAACCCAATCTTACTTTCGGTCTTAGAAGTACGACAATTAGAATCATTTATTGTTGGCTCTTTCTGACAGTGGCCCTTCATGTTTGTTTGTTTGTTTTAATGTAAGCATAGAGACAAAACCCAGGAATGTTCCCATTCTAGGGAAATGCTCTGCCACTGAGCTACCCAGCCCCTTGGAAGTGTAATGATGCTGTTGTTTCTAAAAAGTGTGACACATCAAAATGAAGTGGGAAAGTGAAATTACACTTGTACTGCTCACCAAAATAAATTAGGTTAACTTCTCTGAGCAGAGAAGTATTTCAGAGGATGACCTTGAACCATATCCAGTTTTGTTTGTTTTTTCTAGTTTTTTCCTAGACAGGTCTTCTCTGTGTTGCCCTGACTGTCCTGAACTTGCTCTATATACCAGGCTGGCCTCAAACTCACAGAGATCCGCCTGCCTCTGTCTCCCGAGTGCTGGGATTAAAGGCGTGTGCCACCAGTGCCTGGTGAACCACATCCAGTTTTATGGAGTGTTAAAGATCACACTAGGCTTTCCTATGTGCTAGGCAAACACTCCTCCAACTGAGTACCTCTTCCTTACTAAAAAAAAAAAAAAAATGTGTGTAGTGTGGGGAATGGAACGGACAGGGTTTCGCTAATTCTGACCTGGAACTCACTATATAGACCAGGCTGGCCTCTGACTCGGAGTTGCTCCTGCCTCTGCCTCTGTCTTCTGAGTGCTGAGATAGATGTATGTGCCTCCACACCTGGCTTTCTCACCTTTTTAATAATAGTAAGTGCCTTGTTAGAGCACACGGGATGTGAAGCTGAAGTCATCAGAAGCCTACAAGAAACAGATTGGCAGAGACGAAATGAATCTTGGAATTCCATATGTGGCTTTATTTTGTTTTCTGGGTATAAGGTCTCATGTTGCTTGGGTTGGCCTAGAACTTATGATGTAGCTGAGGCTGTGCTTGAGCTCCTAATCCTGTCGCCACCTCCCAGTGCTGGGATTACAGGTGTGTGCTACCATGCATATTTTGTTGTTGATGTTGATATAGATATTTTAATATAGGTGTAGGCACCACAGTTATGAGAGAGCTGCTCATATGAAAGTAAAACTCTTAAAAGCGTGAATGGGCTTCTTTAAGACTTGTGTGTGTGATAGTCCTGGGATCTTGAATATATCAAGTACTTGTTCCACAGTGAACTATACCTTCTGCCTGGATTTTGTTTTTGTTAGTATATATTAATTGCAAAAAAATTATTATGACATTTTTCTTTTATTTATTTACTTTGCTTTTTGGAGTCAGGGTCTCTATATAATCCCGACTGTTAGCCAGGTGGTGGTGGCGCACGTCTTTAATCCCAGCACTCGGGAGGCAGAGGCAGGTGGATCTCTGTGAGTTTGAGGCAGCCTGCTCTACAAGAGCTAATTCCAGGACAGGCTCCAAAGCCACAGAGAAACCTTGTCTCAAAAAACCAAAAAAGAAAAGAAAAGAAAGGAAAAAAGAAAAGAAAACCCCGACTGTCCTGGAACTCACTATGTAGTCCAGGCTAGCCTTGAACTCACAGAGCTCCACCTGCCTCTGCCTCCTTAGCTCTGAGATTTAAGGCTTGTGGTACCATGCTTGGGCTCATTATGACATTTTTCATACATTTTATTTGTTATGTGTACAGTATTCTGCTTGCAGCACTAGAAGAGGGCCCCAGACCTCATTACAGATGGTTGGGAGCCACCATGTGGTTGCTGGGAATTGAACTCAGGACCTTTGGAAGAGCAGTCAGTGCTCTTAACCTCAGCCATCTCTCCAGCCCTATAAGTTTTTTTTGTTTTGTTTTGTTTTTTAAAATTAAAAAAAAAAAACCAATTTAATGAGAAGTCTGGAAATTACAAAAAGGTAATCCAGGGAATTTTTCTTGCATTCATTACTTTTGTGCAAGTTTCTTGTTGTTGTTGTTGTTGTGTTTTTTTTGATTTTTGGGGACAGAATCTGGGGGCTGCAGAGGTGGCTCAGCAGTTAGGAGCCATCTTCTAGAGGACCCACAGCTGTCAGCTCCAGTTCTTGTGCTTCCCATGGAGACAGGCGTGTACATGGTGCTCAGACATACATGCAAGCAAAACGTGAATTTATAAAAATAATTTTTGTTTGTTTTTGGAGATAGGGTTTATCTGTGTAGCTCTGGCTATCCTGTCCTGGAACTACCTCTGTAGACCAGGCTGGTCTGGAACTCAAAGAGATCTGTTTGCCTCTGCCTCCAGTGTGCTGAGATTAAAGGAGTACACCACCACCACCAGTCTTAGGGTGATTATTTTATTTTATTAAAATTGTTAAGTCTTGTGTCAATGATCTTTTATTACACAGCAGTCCATTCTGAAGTGATGGTTGAAAGCATTAATTCATTTTTTCTGGGTTTTCTTGTTCAGCTAGTTAATTCTGTTTTGTCATGAGGGCATATCTTCAGCAGGGAGCTTCCCTAAGGCATCTTCAGTCACAGTTACTGAGTCAGTTGGTATCCAAGTTTTTTTGAGAACCAAATTGGGGCCACTGCAAGAAGAGCAAGTGCTCTTAAGTCTGAGCCATCTCTACAGCCCCAGCTGAGGTTCTTTTTGCACAAAGTTTTATTATTCAGTCTCTCTTGGGCTTGTTTACTTAACGACTTGATTCCAAAGGGCAAAATGGAAGTGACAAGGCTTGATAACATGAGAGTAGCAAGTCATGGTGTCAACAACCATGGTAGCAAACGAGGCAGGCAGATCTGTCAGTTTGAGGCCAGCCTGGTCTACATAGCAAGTTCCGGTACAGGTAAGGATGCACAATGAAAACTTATCTCTCAAAAAAGTAGAAAAGGAAGAAGAAAATGTTTTAATAGAATCTATGCTTCTTAGAGAAAGAAAATTAACAATTCAACTCCATAAGCCTGTATAAAATTCTTCCTGCTCTAAGATATAAATGGTCTCATTTTCAAACACATAGCTGTATTGTTTTTGGTACAGAACAGTAGACAACATTTTCCTTCAGCAAACACTGAACCATTGTGTGTAAGAATCTTGGAGGCATATAAACCAC